CCAAACCCAAAGCCCAAAACCCAAAACCTTAAACCCCAAACCCTAAACCCTAAACCCTTGTGCAATCTTCAGCGCGAAGGCACTTCGATCCCTTGATGTCTGCCGTTGGACATGTTCGCTCACCTACGATGCCGGGCTCGAGGTCCGGAGAGGGAGGGCACAGGGTTTACGTCTCGGGGAGACGCATGGACTCTTGAGCAAGCGGTGGCAAAAGGCCGGAGCCTTTTCGAGCACTAGGAGTGCTCTTCGGTTATCTGACGGGGTCAGCTATCTTCTTTTCCATCTTCAGCATCCTTTGGATTGGAATCTGCAACAGCAGGGCTTTCATTGAGGATTCCACGGTTGCAGTTTCATCTACCAGGGTGGATTCAACTGAATTCACACTGGTAGCGGAGCTACCTGCTTCGCCACCACGTGGCGGAAAAGCTGTTGATCTGGGTGCCTTTGAGAATAAACTGGGAAGATTAAGAAGACCGCATCATAGCGGGAACAGGAACGGCTTCCACCGGGGAGCCGAGCAGCTTCCAGCTGCCATGGCAGGCCATTCCAAGATTTATTCCTGGGACAACAGATGTGACAGAGTACAGCAAGAAGCTTCAGTTTTTGGCGGCCATGTGGCCGAAGGAGCATCTTTCCTTGTTGGCGCCCCGAGCGGCGCTGATGTGCGAAGGGACATCGTTCAAGAAGGTCGCCTCCCTGGATGCCAGCAAGCTTAAGGCGAATGATGACTCGGGAGTCAAGCTGCTGGTAGCCACTTTAGGTGGTTCTTGGGGCAAGACAGCCCTGGAGGAGAAGTACGACAGTTTTGAGAAGGCGATTTATGGTACAACCCAGAAGGCCGACGAGACGAACGACAGTTACCTCGCAAGGCACGACGTTCACTTTGAAGAGCTGTTGGCAGCTGGAGTGAGCCTCGGAGAGGTCCGAGCCTACATCTTGTTGCGGCAGTCCCAGCTCTCGGCAGATGACCGGAAGCGGATTGTCGTGGAAATGGGTGGAACTTTGGACTACAAGAAGGTTTGCTCAGCCATAAGGCTTCTTGGATCGCGGTTCTTTACTGACCTGCAGGGCCAGCGCAGTGGGAAGACCAAGACCTACGAGGCCAACTTCGTGGATGAGCCAACAAGCGAGGAGCCAGAGCGTGCCTACCAGGCATCGGCAGCTTTGGCCAACGATGATGGCGACGGCGACTTGGACAACGAGTACATCGAGGCCCTTGTCGCGGCAGAAGATCAAGATGCTATGCAGGTGCAGGCCTTCGAGGAGGAGCTGGAGGGTTTCTTTCAAGAAACCCCTGACTTACAGGAGGCCTTGGTGAGCTACCTGGAGGCCAGAGGCCGTTTGCTGGCTAAGAAACGATCCCGAGGTTTCTGGCCAGTTGGATCGAGCAGCAAAGGTGCCAAAGGCGGCCGTGCACCGAAGGGAAAAGGAAAGGGCAAGAATGCCCGAGAGCAGCTGCTTGCGAGGATCAGCCGAAGCAATTGCCGAGCATGCGGCGAGCGAGGGCACTGGAAAGCCGAGTGCCCGAAGTACGGAAAGGGGAGCCATCCGGCGGGAAAAGGCGAGACCGCCACTACCACAGTAGCCCAGGTCGATGAGTCCGTCCTGGCGTCCACCGAGGATCCCGAAGCTCAGGTGGCCGAGGTGTGTCAGGACCTCCCCGAGGGTGCTTTGACCCTGGAGGAGGCCCACTTTGCATCGTGCAGTCAGAATAGAGGGTTTATTCAGCGACGGCTAATGCAAGTAGTAGAGAACCTCAAAGCCTATCGCCTTTCCCCGCCCAAACAATGCAGCAGGCAGCCAATCAATGGGGAAGCATCCTCGACTGATCCTGGTAACAGGAATGCCTTCGGGGGCCCGCGCAAGCCCTCTTCCGAGATTTTGCCTGCCGCCTCAATGGCGTTAGTGAGCAACGGCCCCATAGAAGCCATTTTGGATACGGGGGCTAGTCGCTGTGTTATGGGTAAGAACCTAGTGTCCGGGTTTCTGAGTCAAATGGATGAGTCTGTCCGTAGGAAGATCAGGGTGACTAAGAGTGAGGTTCGGTTTAGATTTGGGAATAACCAGACTTTACTTAGTCAGCAAAGAATCCTTGTACCTTTCAGGACAGCTCAAGGACAGGCCCTATGGCTCGGGATTGAAGTTGTGCCAGGTGGAACGCCCTTGTTGTTCAGCAAAAGAGCACTTAAACAACTTCATGCTGTCATAGACACCCGAAATGATCAGTGCCACCTGCATCGCCTGGACAAGAGTCTAAGCTTGCAAACAGGGCCGACCGGGCTCTACATGATCGACCTTGCCCGACTGTGCGCAGAAAGTAGCATCGAGCAGTCAGCTCAGACTGTCTGCGAGGAATCTGAGGACCGTCAGGTGCGCACAGAGCCTCTCCTGCATGCTTCCAAGGGTGTTGAGGTAGATTCGTTGACGCCAAAGTGTATAGCCAGGTGTTCAGAGGGTCTCAAGACTTCAGTTCCCAGGAATTCATTCAAGCAGTTTCGTAAAAGTACGAGATTCGATAATGTTCCCGCGCCATCGTGGACAACCCCCGTGGCGCCCTCCCAGTTGCCATCCCTGTGTCATGATAACATGCAGACAAAGAATGGTCCGAATGCAGCAACTCCTGAGCCCAAGCGTGCACTCTCGCATCCGCTACATTCCTCCGTGAGCTCCCACTCCCATGGCGCAGAGCACCCTAAGCCTCGGAGCCCGATATGCTCGCCTGAGCGAGCCTCAGCAGATGCTCACACCGGAGGAGATCCGCACCATGCCATTGGAGGAACTCGGGAAGATGAAGATAGACTTCGGGAAAACCATGACGGGACGCACCTACATGGACATGGCCGAGAACGAAACGGCCTGGACCAAATGGATCGTCGAGCATATGGCTCAGAGCAAAAAGAGGTGCCATGTCAATTTCTTGACATTCATGGAGCGCTATGTAAGCGAAGCGGAAGCCGTGGAAGGCTCCCTCCTGGAATCTCTGGAGGAGGTCGAGCCCTCAGCCCGGCGTGCTCGCCCCAAAGCCGTGGCCAAATGCACGACCTCCCGCACCGTCGCTTCCACCGAAGCAATTCCCGAAGCCTGGGATGTCATCTCCGTCGACGACCAAGGGCCTCCTCTCGATCACCAGGTGACGGCACTGGCCAACCGCATGAGCCAGATGGAGAGTGTGATGCAACAGGTTCTGGTAGCCATCCAGGATCTCAGCTCAGTGCCCCGCAGCTCCTAAGTGAGCTCAAGACCTGTCAGCACGAAATCACACAAGCCCTTGCAGCTCAGTCTCTGGACACGACGTCCCTTGAGGATAAGGCTCATAACCTGCTAAAGAGCAAAGCCCCTGTCCCCGAATTGAAGCGCTTCCTCAGGTCTGTCCCATGGGATTTGCTAAAACGTCGATGTGACAGGGTTCGTGAAGGGGTGGAGTTGATTAAGGAAGAGGACTTGAAGCCTCCCGCCTATGTCGTTTTCGGCATGTACGTGCATGGGGGTAAAGTAGGTGTGACCCGAGTGTCCCGTGAATTTCCCAACCTAACACAAGTCCTTTCCCGAATCTGCCGCGAAACGAATCCCCAGCATCAGTTCACTTCCATCACGATATCCCGAAATACTCAATCGTCTCCCCATCGCGACAGCTACAACTCAGCCGAGATTCCCAATTTAGTAATCCCTTTGGAGTATCCGCGTGCTGGCGGGGAGATCTGGGTTGAGCAGCCTCCGCGATTCCAGCAGCAGAGTGTCTCTTTGACATGCGGTTCCCGAGAACGTGAGGGATCATTGATTCACCTAAAGCCCCAAGTCTATGTAGATCCGCATCGTTGGCATGCCACAATGCCTTGGACAGGGAACCGAGCTGTTGCAATTTGCTATGCTGTCAAGCCTACTTGGAAGCTGGAGGCTTCCGAGGCCACATGGCTGCGGACACATGGGTTCGTCCTTCCGGACCTTCGAAGCGATGCTCCTGCACTTGTCTCCCACGGGAGTCCAGAAAACCTCAAGGACACTTCGAGCCCTTCCCTGAGGCAGGAACTAGATTCAGCTAAGCACTTCCTTGGTGAATCTGCTTTGGCGAACCTGGCTTCCCGTGCCCGCGTCGCTAGTGAGTCAGCTTACAGCAAGGCTGAGGAGGCATCCTGGAATGTCTTCAAAGATACTCTTCTGGCCTACGGCCAGCCCGAGGATTCCCAGCTGGATGTGCTAGAGGTTTATGCTAGTCCAGATAGCCGGTTGACGAATTGGGTAAATAGCATGGGTGGACGTGCAATGCGATTCACATCCCAAGATGGGGATCTGAGTACCCCGCATGGACAACGTGTCCTGTGGGAGCTGCTGCAGAGAAGGCAGCCACGACACGTGTGGTGTACCCCCGACTGCAAACACTGGAGCACATGGTCTAATCTGAATGCCGCCCGTAACCTGCAGTGCAGACAGAGGGTGGATCACCAAAAGGGCCGAGACCCTGTGCACTGGCAGCTTTGTTCCCGCATCTGTGAATGGCAAACCACCCAAGGAAGAGACTTTCATCTTGAAATCATACCAAACCTTCAAATCCTAGAGAATAACAATCTTGCGCCTGTCCGAAGATGTACCCACCGAATTAATGTTGACATGTGTGCTTTCGGTTTGAAAACTCCCATCAGCCACAAGCCTATTCGGAAAAGAGTAACGATTCTTAGTACTTCCCAAGATCTCACCCGAAGCCTCGCCCAAAAGCAGTGTAGTGGTCAACATGATCATCAAGCCATTGCGGGCAAACTTCGTGAGCTTGGAGGTACTCCCACGTCAACTTTTGCTGGCACCTACTGTTCCGGTTTTGCACAGCACCTTGCGGCTCATCTCTTGAGCTCGAGTCATGGGAGAGCGTGTGTGGCTGAAGCCAATATGCCCCTAACCCGTAAGCGGTTTAAGACTTCATTGGGTTTAGCCTCCCCGAACCCTTCGGTTGGATCCCAGAAACGCAGTGTCCCGGACTCTCTCGAGAGTGACAGGCGCAGCAATACCGTGCGCAGGACTGTCGGAGTGCCATCCGCCACCACACCGCATGAGTCTGAGCTCCCCACCACAGAGTGGCAAGCTCTCTTTGATGTGGCTTCCGAGTATGGAGGCCGACCTGCAGCTACCTTAGTGCCCCCGCAGCATAGCTTAATTGAGGCCTTGCAGTCTAAGTTTCCAGACTTTAACGTCATGCAAGTGTTTGTTGGCAAAGGTAGTCGAAATCTTCAGAGCCCCCTAGGAGCCCTACCAGTGACTGTAGCCCCTTGGAGAATAAGCCTAGGATCCCGTGTAGCTGCGGACGGAGCTTGCAAGTTTGTTTGCCTGGGCCGCGAGGACCGTACCACAATGGCAGCCGATCGTAAGAAGCTCAGGGTTGGAGTCCTAGGCATCTCTATTACCATCCTGGGAAAACCTTGCGAAGCCCCGAGCGCCGTAAGTCCACCTGCCCAAGCTGCTTCTAGAGACGAGCCAAACTTAGAGGGATGGGCCCCACCCCCAGTACCCCTTCATGGTCCTGCTTTTCGGAACTTAGATCAGGCGACCAAGAACAGACTCATCAAGATTCACAATAACCTAGGACATCCCGCTCCCCAAACTTTGTCCCAGCACTTGAAAGCCGCCGGGGAAAGCCCAGCCGTAGTCGAAGCAGCCTTAGAGTATCAGTGTGATGCCTGTCTTGAGTCGACCGAGCCGCGGCACCAGAGACCGGGAAAGCTCCCCGACCCCCGTGAGTTTAATGATATGGTTGGGATAGATGGTTTCGTGTTTAAGAGCCGATCTGGGTATAGCGCTTACGTCATACATGTTATTGATGAAGCAAGCTGTTTTCATTTGGGTCGTCGCATTGAGTCCCGACACGGCTCTCAAGCAATCCGTGCAGTGTCCGATTTCTGGATGTCATGGGCCGGGCAACCCCAACAAGTGTATCTCGACCCAGCCGGCGAATTCAGATCGGATGAAATCATGGAGCATTGGCAAGCTGTTAGTGCCCGTGTTTTCGTGAGCGCTGCTGCCTGGCAGCGTGGTCGCGTGGAGCGCCACGGGGATATCATGAAGGACATGTTAACCCGCATGGACAATCAGAGCAGTCTCTGTAACCATACCACTTTTGATCAAGCTCTCCTTCAAGCCTTTCAGGCCAAGAATGCATTGGTTCGTCACCGGGGTTATTCTCCCGAGCAGATTGTCCTAGGAAAATCCGTGAAGGTGCCAGGCAGCTTGACGTCTGACGAGGACTTGTCCTCCCATGCAGCAGCTGATGGATCGGACCTTGAAGCCGAGCTGCATCGCCAAAGGCTTGAACTACGGTGTCAGGCTAGGAAGGTCTTTTGGGAAGCCGATAATAATCAGGCAATCCGTCGTGCTCTTCTAAGACGAGGAAATCCAACTCGTGGCCCCTTTAGGCCTGGAGATTGGGTTCTATACTGGCTACGTAAGACATCCCCCAATAGGCTTGCAGCCGGCCGATGGCATGGCCCAGCAAAGGTGATATGCCAGGAGGGTCAGTCCGTAGTCTGGGTATCGCACGGCACAACGGTGCTCCGTTGTGCACCGGAGAACCTTCGACCGGCCAGTTTGCGGGAATGGCAACAACTTTCCCCTGCAGACCTTGAGGGAGTAGGTCGGAATGTAGGTGGTTCGAGTGCGTTCTTAGACTTAACAGCGCCTGCTGCCCCCAGCCTCGAGAATCAGACTTCAATGCCAGCTCCTGCGTCAACTGAAGTGCGAGCCGCCGGACCACCTGTCTCTCCGTCCCCCGCACCACCTGATGATCATCTTGAACAACCAGAACACGAGCTAACGCCCCAGGTGTCCCATAATCCCGATGAGGTAGAGAGACAGGAAGAAGTTGAGCGCAATGCCGGCCCCCAGGCCAGCTCTGCTGCCCCTTCGCCAGTCCCTGTACCCACGTCTCCCGAACCCTCAGGGCAGCTTGAAGCCAATCACGAAAACTTAGGTGGTATGAATGTACCGATTCCTGAATCAGATGATGGGTTTGATGATGGACTTCCTGCGGAAGAGATTCTTCTAGCAAGTTCCTCGTTAGAGCCTGAAAATGATGACAAAGATGCCCTGATGAGTTTCCTGACTCTTCAAGCTTCAGAGGAATCCGTGGGTCCACCTCTTGCAGAGGATAATCTACCCTACGTTACCGAGCCTTTGAGTTGTGATGAGCAGCAGGCCTTCTGTCTTGAAATTCCCGTAAGTGCCAAAACCTACCGAAGGTGGACTAAGGAAAAGGTCCCAGAGCAAATGGTTACCTTGGCTTCTGTTAGTAAACGGGCTCGAGCTGAAGTCTTTGTCAAAGATCTGTCCATGTCAGAAAGGAATCTTTTTGAAGCTGCCAAACAAAAGGAGATTCAATGCTGGCTCCAAACGTCGGCCATAAGACCAATCCTGCGCCGCAGTTTAAATCCAGATCAAATTTTGCGAAGCAGGTGGATCCTCACTTGGAAGGCTGCCGGCTGCCGAGCCTGGTGAGGAAAGTCGACGTGCCAAAGCTAGGCTAGTGGTCCTAGGGTTTCAGGATCCTAAGTTAGTGGAGGTTCTACGTGATGCTCCCACACTGTCCCGAGAGGGAAGAGCTTTGGTGCTGCAGACTGTGTCGTCTGCCAAGTTTCCTCTGAGCTCCTTCGATATCAAGACGGCCTTCTTGAGAGGCAAAGCCGACGCGAGCAATCCTTTGGCCATGGAGCCTCCAAAAGAAGTTCGCAAGGCCTTGAATCTTAAAGATGACGAAGTGTGTGAGCTCTTAGGAAACGCTTATGGGAGAGTCGATGCACCACTTTTGTTTTATAAGGAGCTCAGTAAGCAATTACTTCAGCTAGGATTCATTCGACATCCCCTAGAACCTTGCGTCTTCTTGTTGTACACAGGTCAAAAACTGAATGGGATTCTTGGAATGCATGTCGATGATGGCGTTTGTGGTGGTGATGATAAGTTTACATCCAAAGTCAAGGAGCTAGAGAAAACTTTACCTTTCGGCAGCCGCAAGTTTCAAAGCTTTGTCTTCACAGGGATTCACCTTGAACAGTTCCCCGATTACTCCATAAGAGCCTCCCAAGGTGAGTATGTAAGAAATATCCCCCAGATAGACATAGGCAGGCTACGGCGTCAGACTCCTGAGGCCGCTGTTTCGGAGGCTGAACGCACCAAGCTGAGAGGTTTAATAGGCAGTCTTCAATATGCCATCACCCATACTCGCCCCGACATGGCAGCTAAGCTTGGAGAGCTTCAGGGTCAAATCACCACGGCCTCCGTGCAAACGCTGATGGCCGCCAATAAGGTTCTCCGTGAGACCCAGGAGCATGCCCAAGTGTGTGTATATTTCCTGCCAATCCCTATACCCGAAGTCACCTTCGTTTCATTTGGGGATGCCTCCTTCGCCTCATCCAAGAATCTAAATTCGCATCAGGGAGCCTTGGTCTGCGCCACCGACGGGCGCTTAGATAAGAACCTTGAAGCACCCTTAGCACCCCTGACTTGGACCTCTAAGAAAATCCCTAGGGTTGTTAGGTCCACGTTGTCGGCGGAGGCTTATGCGATGTCCAAAGCTGTCGATATGCTTGGTTGGATGAGAGCTCTGTGGGGAGTAGTGCATGAAGCGAGGTTCGACTGGAGGCATCTTGAGCAGGGCTATCAGACCTTAAATCCTGCAATCGTAGTCACTGACTGCAAATCATTATACGACCTGGTAACCCGCTTAGCGATGCCCGCTTGCGAAGAATACCGGACAACCTTAGAAGTGCTTCTCATAAAGCAACGGTGTGCAGAAAACACCCGCTTCCGCTGGATTCCGACGACGTTGCAAGCGGCGGACTGCTTGACTAAGAGTATGGATGCCAGTCTTCTGCGAGCTGTGCTCGCTCAGGGACGCTTTAAGTTGTTTGACAATACCTTGACACTCGAGAAAGATGCTCAGCGCAAGCAAGCCATCCAGTGGCTTTCAGATCCACCAGCTGGGTCTACCGAGCAGTGAGATCTTGAGTTGCTGCAGCCTGTGTCCTTCCGGAACGAATCCATCAGGATTCCGTACAGATATCAGATGTGAGCGAATCTTGTCCAATAAAGTTGGGCCCGTGTGAAATCTTCAGCGCGAAGGCACT